AAAACATTTGTTGAGTTGTTATTAGCTTATCAAGTTAAAAAAAAATGTTTCTTCTTCAAAGATGATTGGAATTTGTCTTTACTGTTCCGTTCCATTTTCTCCTTGGTATTGGTGTTAGGATCTTATAATTTACATAAAATTAAAGTGCATTATTTTTCTATGACATATATGCTATATATTTTTTTACTAATAAAATCTACAGTAATTAACTTCCTTTGATGAAGGTAGTATAATGTTCATACTATTTAAGAAAGTTTTAAACCTTTTTGATTTAATTAGAATACCTATGGATGTTATTAGAGTCTTCGTTACAGATTTTTCTCCGTATTCGATATTCGAAAAAATTCTGTATAACAATACAGAAATAAGCAATTTTCGTACGACGCTGTGCTATTCAAATGGCGTTTGTCAATACCTTTTAAATTCTTCTTGTTGTTCCAGCCTATCAGTTGCAATTACTTCCGGGTCCTTTAAAGTGTTTTCTTCTGTATTGTCATCTTCCAATTTATCTAAAGCGAGACGAAGCTGTGATCTGAGTTCTTCATCAATAACCCCCTGTTGGTTTCCTGCATAATGATCATTTCTGTGGGAATGTGAGGCATACACGTCTGGCGTCTCTTGTTGTCTTGTCTGTGTCTCCTTGACACCACTTTGTGATCTGATATAGTTGTTTCTGTCATTATGTGTTGATTTTACATACTGTACCATTTGTGGCGACATAAATCTTGTGTCGTCGGTACATCTTGACGGTGCTTCGTCAATCTTGCTTAGCCTAGTGTCAAGTTGACTTTTTTCTTGTTTTTCGTTTTGTTGATTGGTCAGTTTTGAATAAGAAGCTTCTTTTTCAACTTGCCTCATCTGAATTAAAATTCTTTCCAAGATTTATGCTTGTAAGGTATTTGGAATTGTTATTATTAAAATTTGAGAATTTTTGGAATTTAATGACAATTTTCAATCTTAAACCAATGATTGTAAGATAGATAACAAATAAATGAAACGAAAAAGATAGAAAAAGACTAACACACACAAACAAAAAAAGCGTAAGAGTACCAAGTTACAATAATGTAGTTAATTGTTTGAAGATGTCTCTGGTTCATTATTATTTGATACAAATAGATATATATTTTTCCTTTTGTAATACTCAGATATAAAAAATGTATTAATGTATCGTGTATACATACGATATCGGAATACACTCGATTGAATCCCATAAATTCATTATTAGCATCTTTGATGTATCTTGATACCCTACTCCAATCTTCTCCTTCAGCAACATTAGCAACTTCACGTAACCATTTGGACTGTACCTGCGAGTGATCATTATATTTTATTTGTTGAATATATATATATTTGATTATTTGTGTACGTTGTAGTGGTGAACAAGATACTTGAGTACAAAAAACCGGAATATTCAAAGGTAATTTTATTATTGTTATTTTTATGTTCTCAAATGAACTCAAATGCTCTTTTTATGAAAACAAACATTTATGATGATATATTAAAGCAAAAATGTAAACTGTACGACACGATAATGTGTAGAAAGATTTATAGAATACAAGCATAGTGATTGTTTTTTTTTCTTATAGTGAATTTATGATACAAAATATACACAACCGTTCTCTTTTTGATATTGACGTTCACCACTGTTTGGTGTTTCTTATATATTATAATGCATTGTCCGTTTTAAGCATGAAGAGATGCAAAAATATTATAACTAGCAAGGCACATGTACTTAAAAATAACGTTCATACAGAGAAAACTATTTTGATGCATACATTAATAAAACCTCTTTGTCTAAAAAATTCTTCAACATAAGAAATACTTCTTCTAGCAACAATAGCATCATTATGTGACGGATGTTCTTCTACATAGGGATCTTCAAACAGGAGATTGCATTTTGTTAAAAAATTGTCAAGTTTTTGAATATCCTGAAATGCCTGCAAAGACAAGTATAATTATTCGATCAGTAGCATCCGAATGTTAAATCTAAGAGGGACAACATTATAATCTAGCAGGATATTACCATATTATAAATTGCTTTCCTGTAATTTCAAGATACATTATAGAATTCCTTTTTTCGTTGTTGGATAACAGGTTGGTGGTTTCTTCGCAAAATACCTCACAATTGGTTTTAATCCTCAATTCATAAAATACAATTCGCTTCCTTTTCTTAGATTAATTCATTGTATAAGAATTGTTTTTTAATGTTTGGAAATTTAATTTTTAAAATTGTTGAAAAACTTTCATTGTTATTTATGAAGAAATGTTGTTTGCCCAAGGATGTGATCTATAGAATGAATTTTACCTACCTGATGTGTCGGCTCGATCATTTTTTTCAGTTTTGTGTTTTACCCGCCATAATTGAATATAGTAGAAAAAATAAACATAAATAGACATATTGAATTAAAGAACGAATCTACCGATCTATTCAAGGAGATCAACAGTTATCTATTGTGAAGAGTTAAAATCAATATTTTTAACAACAAAACGTTTTAATGGTTGTTGATTCACCATTACAATTTAATCAAAAGAAAATCACAAGTAGACATTTATGACAATACACATTGTCAAAATACTGTCTGTATTATGTATTCTTATATTTCAAAATATTTTATATTTTATTCATGATATATCTTTTATATATATATTGTGTTTTATTTGTAGATGAGTGTTATAAAACACAGTTATGGGTAAATAGTTATCAAAGGTACCAGGATTATAATTTAATACGCCAGACGCGCGTTTCGTATACATAAGACTCACCAGTGACGCTCAGATCAAAATAGTTATAAAGCCAAACAAGTACAAATGTGTTAAAAAGTTATGTGTAATCTTTTCATAGATTCACACCATATTTACAAAATGTGGCTCCACCGAAAGCTTCCGTTTTTCTAATGTTTTCCTATAACTTTAGCTGTTTTTCTTCCTCTTTTTTATAATCATCCAAACGATTGTTGAGTTTTGATCATTTGATGATATTTTTTTAGTCTACAAAGTATACTCAGTCCGACAAAATAATTTATATCTACAGTATTTGATGTTTGTATATTTTTTTCTCTTTAGTGAATGACATTGGAAAGTTATATACTTCTTAAATTGGATTGATAACTTACATATAAAATACACATACAAAAGGGATTTAATTCTGCAAATTGACAATCGATTATTACTGTGTTTGATGTGGATCGACTATCAACTACACGTATTAAGAAAAGGTTGAATTTTTTTCTCTATAAAACATGGTTGAACTCTCAGTACTTTCTTTGAACGTTCCCTTACCAAGGTTGAAATACAAGATTGCACGAACATTACGGTTGTTTCCATCTGTCCCATTTGTTGATTTGAAACATAGTGCTTCGTGATAATCTCAAATAGTTAAAATTTCTAAGAATATATTTCATTTCCCATTTATCATGCAAATATTACAAAACATTTCTTATGTTATTAACGTAACATACATTATCCTTTTTGATTTAATTTCATCGCCTTTCTGGTGGAAAAGACTGGAAAACGTAATAAAGCTTATTAGAAAATAAACTGAGCCAACTAATGTTTAGTATGGGAGAACATGATTTAATATTATAAGTTGTTATTGGCTTCTAACTAACTTTCAGTAATTGCGAGTACTCCTAGATCAAGATAGAGGCAACAGAAGATTACCTATGTTCAAATCTCATTAATACATTCAGAAGATACAAACCATGGTAAAAACAAAATCTGAGGGATTCGAATGGTTGTGTCGACAGGATAAGCATAATTATCCTGCTATGCATGCCTCACCCACCATGCGAATCCAATGTCAGAATCGGGAATAGACACAATCGTTAAATTTACTACTTTTTGACTACTTTTCTGGTATCTAAAGATCTAAGATCGCAAGGAAGTTTAACCACATCGTATTAGGCTTGCAGATGACCTTTAAACAAATGTAGTGTAGATTTCCGTCGTTTTTTTTTTGTCATAGCTTTGTTGAAGTAGGGGCACACTCCTGTTAACGAAGTTTGTAGGGGGGGGGGGGGGGGGGGGGGGGTCTAGATTAAAATCCATAGAATTTTTCAATGATTTGCCAAAATGAAGTTTATATCATTTTTTTTTCAAATATAAAATAAAACGTATGGGTCACGAGGCCTCTTTTCAAGCTACAGGTCTTGCAAAATTGTCAGAGTTTGTACAGATTATGCATGGCAACTACTATTTTTTTGTGATAAAAAGAAACTAATCCATAGAATTTGAAGATAAAATATGAGAAGATAGCTCTTATAATGTGCATTCTGAAAATAATCTCAAAATTGGGTTCACGGACTGGTTTTCTTGCTTCAAAACAAACAACATAGGTACATTCATAACACATTCCTTTCTACAAGTAACTTTATCTGAGTTATCTCCTCTTAAATGGCAAAGTTTCTGTATCAATTTTGTAAGTTGTAAAAATATTATAAAACAAATAATTTTCTTCATTTAGTTGAAAAGTTTTACAAAAGATTTTACATTCTTCTCTTGAATCTTGCCAATTCTATTAAAGATCTAGACCGATTGATTCCTGTAATTTCACAATCCAAGATAGCAGAAGACACCCGATCTTCCTTAATTGAGATTATGTATACGCTTTAATATGAAACAGATTGGATATTACTGCTGAGAAAAGGAAAGTTGACAATTGTAAAATTGCAATCATCACGTTTGATTGAAGTCAAGATCAAGATTTGGAAGCACACATTTAAGTTGTTGGTAGCATTCAGATTTTCAAACTAAATTATAAAATAAGAATTTATCAAAACTACATTTACACGTCATAAATCATAGTGCATGCAGTGAGGAGACGGGCAGCTTAATTCTTGATGCGGCCTTTATGCTCTGCTATAACTCTGCAGACGAGCAACGTACTCCCCATGTATTAGCCGTTTAACTCACAATCGAATTGTAATTAATAAATAAATCTTCTGTTTGAGCCCTTGCGAATTTCAAGGGAACCTAGCTATACTTAATACCATATTAACAGATTTACCGACATTTGTACTCAAATGATCACACAAATCACAACCATAAAATCTAAAACAATTTTCATTGGTTACATCCTTTTATATTACGCGCACAATTAAAATCGAAATTATTATTCTATATTGCCTTTTTGAAGTTCTAATGATAATACTCCGCAAATTATCTCTCACTATTTCAGTTCCGTAAAAATATAGTAATGAGTGAAATTCTAATAAATATTCCTACGTTAATTCGTTACAATCATTAACAAAAGTCATAGCAATAAACGTACAATTATTTCAACATACATGGTAGAGTGAATAAATAAATAACAAAGATTTTTCGACATGCAGTTATATTGAAAAAAAAAACTCTTTAGAGCAATATTGGTAAACCGTTCATTTATATAAATTAAATACACAGTAGATTTGTTCGTGTTCAACATTTGCTTCACAACATCTTTCTGCTTTTTGTCATTTCTCTTACTTAATGATAGGCAAGTAAACATATTTTAATCAGTTTAATATCTAAGTTGTGCAACTCCTTTTACGATCACAGGACCCTGATCGTGTATTAATAGAGCTGGCCATACTTCATGTTCCAGTTTGTTACCAAATTTTGTAAAATGTCTGAAACAGTTTAAAGATATTTCATTTTCATTTGTGTTCGGCCACAAAAGTCCCATCGGTGGATCCTGTACGCTCATAAACCAAGTAACCTCCACACATTTCTGAAGGTACCTGGTTACTTTGTCTAGTTTTTGGTATTCATCAATATCAAATTGTTGTATAACATGATGTCGAAAGCTTGGCGGGTTGTATCGGTCCTCAAAGTCCTGTAAATTATTTAAGTATAGATAAAAGCATGTGTTAATATGGTTTTGTTTTTATAATCATGCATTATTCTATTACACCTTCAATGAAAGATCAAGAAAAGCAAAACTATTGAATTATCTCATAGGTTGAATTTATAGAAAGCAAATACACGCATTTATTTGAAAAAATGCTCGATTTACCACGCTCAACAACCTTTTAAGTAGGTCTTTCACCTTACTCACTTACTCGAGCTTCTCTTAGTGTTAACATTTTATTAAAGAATTCGTTATGTATAGCTACAAGAGTAAATAAGAACGAAATATACAATTAATTCAAAAATTGGGATAAGGAAACAAGAGCAGTGCTCTTATATAGATCCATCTCCCTGCGAAGTTTCTCGAATTCGTCTAAGATATCGTTTTTTTTATACCAGGAAAATTATATTTCCGACAAGACTACGTTACACGATTTCACAATATTGTCGATCCATTAGAATGTATTAGAGAAACAAAACCAGAAAGACAAGATATATATAGACAAACCCTTAGACTAAAGTTTTGACAATGTCAACTTCCTTTAAAACAGGAATGACATTAAACACAACTAAAGCATAATCTGTTAGACATGTGCAAAGTTACCCCAAAAATGATTCTAACATTATGGGAAAAAAATATTATGATTTTCCCCCTGCATTTCTCTGTAATGAAAGTTTGTCTTTTTCATGCATTTGAAAAAAAAAATCAAGTAATCACTCTTTGTGATGAGGATGCCAGATTCTTATATTATTTAAAAAAAATGATACTCCTCCATATCTTTTATTTTGTAACTTGGTACATTTACCACAAGTCCTTATTTTTATGAATTTAAAACATCATATATATTTCAACAAAACAATGTTTGATCAAACTCACTTTTATTATGATATTCAAACTTAAATCAGCTGTTTCCTTCACTATTTCTCTAGCATGTCGCTTCAATGTGTAATCATGATGTCTCTCTTTTAACCGAACCTAGAAATATAAAAGACGATAATACCTAGTTTTGTTTCAAAGTTGTGGTGTTGCTCTATACATGGATGTTTTTCGGACGGTTTTGAATTGTATACAAAGAAAAAAATACATTGTACTGCGACTTTCATTATTTGATTGATCAACGAGTTGTTAAAGTTTTTCTTTACGTTAATAGGTCAATGAGAAAGCATTCAATCAACACAAAACATCTAGAAATCAATATACAATGTTCAATAATAGACAGTTGTCTCAATGTATATAATACATAAAAAGGATAACAGGCTTTGCACGATTTTGATTCTCGGACTCAGAAATCAACAAATTAAAATACTGGATTTGGTGTTTCGAGCACAAATTTTGCACTCCAAGCATTGAGTACAGTGACCGAGGGCCCAGCTGGAATCACTAAAAATATTGAACAGTACTTCAGACCATACTAACCACCAACACTGAACTCCTCCGACAAAAATAGACACAAACAAATGAAAGACAATTATAAACTAATAACACATTGTTCAGATAGCCTGACTTGATGTCGTAGGGTTACACCAGTTTTATACATCTAAATGCTTGAAAAGTAGTTATGTTTATAAAACATGTATAACGGATTACGATGCTATTATACACTTTCTTTTATATCGAAATTTCATATAAAAAAAGTTGAACGAAAATACATTGCATCTTAAATTCTTTTTTCCAAAACAATACAACATTCTGTGCAATGCTGAAGATGAGTAAATAGAAATAAGAAGATGTGGTATGAGTGCCAATGAGACAAGTCCAAGTCACAATGTGTAAAAAGTAAACAATTATAGGTCAAAGTACCTCTCATTTTGACAATATGTCAAGTAACATCTAACAAGTCTACATTTCACTAAGCTGATTTTAATATGATTTGACATAAACTGCACATTTCCAATACACAAATACATCTTGTTAAATAGTACAAATGAGTTATGAATAATAACTATGTTTTCATAAACAAAATGTATTTGCAACAAAGAAAATCTAACACTAGGTAAGCATTTCAATATTATGATTTGCCAAACCCGCTCCTGCAACACTAGTCAATCGACAAGATGTAATATTTGCCGGACAAATTTTAATGTTTACACTCAATCTGACTACAATTGTTGTTTGTTTATCTTATTTAAGGCTACAATTGTATAATATATATGGCGTTATTAAATACTTATTACCGTATAAGGTGTATGACCAGGTGGTACAGCCATGGTATCGTGAACTCTTAATGCCATGCTGTCAATCAAGTTTCTTGCTTCTTCACGGGTATATTGAAAGGATTTCTGAATTAGAGACAATGGAAGCAGTTTAAGTCGATATATCTCAATACACAAACACACACAATAATGTCTATAACGCTTACAATAATGCATTAGAACACACATACAAAAATATATTTTCCGATATATTTTCCAAAATTGAATCAGTACAGATATCTCCACGAAATGCAGCAAATAATTTTGTACAAAACCGAAAAGCACAGCTGCACCAATTACATAAGCCGGCATAGCAACAGGATAAAATGAATACTTCATTTGCGAAATATCCTGAATATCCGAGAAAATCAATTGGCCGTCCCCACATGTGGGGTATACATCAATGACGTAGACACCCAATGTCACATATAACCAAAGGATACATTGAACCTATAGTTTAACATACACAAGTGTCTTCACAATACGACAGGCTCTATTCGACCCGAGTAAGAAAAGATGGTGAACAAATTTAAAAGACTATTTACGTGAGAAACCTATTTCATATGTATCATACAATTTACTTGCCTTCAGTATATCGGCTAAATCGACAATTATCTTTACTTCAGGTACACCTATTCGATTTCTGCAGACTTGTTCAAAAGCATCAGCCCATTCCACATCAAACAGTTTGGTAAATAGATCAGCAATTTTGGTTGGGTTATTTGTTAGCACCTGAGATGGAATATAGGAACGTGTTGAAATTTCGGGGACTGTTGCAGGAATCCGGAGTTCGCTATATCTGTAATAAAATGCACGTATTGATATTTTGGGAAAAATTGTAATCACTTCGTTAGACTAGAAGTAAGGTGTACATGTACCTACAGATACTTTCAATGATGGTAAGATGCATCATGACATCTTGTAACCGTTAAATGTCAAGAGTAACCCGAAAGGTGCCAAAAGTAGCAGGATCTGTTTACTCTTCTGGACCACCCGCTTGTATTGTAGTGACGTTTGCATTGTTTAATCTCTCTAGTTTTTGTCGACTATTTTTATTCTAAAACTACTTTTTGCTTCATTATCCTCTTTATATTTATCTGCAAAATGGACACGCTATACTAAAAAAATATAGCAATTGGAGGCATTTCAAGCCAAGAATTTTGAATGCAACATGAATATGATGTCATATATACTTACTTTCTATAAGGAAGTTATTGTTCGACTTTATGATAAATTAAAACTATAGTATATTTTGAAAATCTGTTCAAGTACATTAAAATTGATGACATTTCAAATGATAATTATTATGGATAAAAACTGTTTAAATAAGTCGAGCATGCTTTGGGAAACATAGTTTCACGTCAATAAGAGGAGCAAGCAAATTTATGTCTATATTACCTGCTTTTCATGTCTTTGTACTCTTCTTTTATTAGTGTATTTCGGTTGACGAGGTCTTGTCCTGTTGGAGGTGGTATTTTGGTGCCTGGCCTTATTACATCTAATGTGAACTCTCTATTCAGAGGGTCATCAGGGTTTCTGTTGATCCTCGTTTTCATATTGAAAACACTTCCTGTTCCTTCAGCGTTTATAACGTCATTGTCTGATGGTTTATTTTTCAATGTGAATCCGTCAATATATGCCGGTCTTTTTGACAGTGGTCGAGGTGATATTTGATGATTTGCAGATTTGGACTTTGAGGTGCTGTATAAATACTGTGGTTTACTGTCGTGCAATATGCGCTATAATAAAGATAAATAGCTGTAGAAATTGGCACAGCCTGGCAATATAGAAAATGCAGATAGAAATATGTTATGTTTCAATTGTGTTTCAATTTTATATCTACGTAAATTTATTTATTTATAGGAGCAATTACAGATTTATTGCAAAGGTTAAGAATGATAATATTAATTGCTTTATGGTGAATACGTTCATTTCCATATACATGTACTTTACATTGGGTTTTTAAATCAAGAATAATTTATTTCATTGAAAACCATCTTTAATTGTTCAACTTAAAGAGTTTAATGAAACAGTATGGTCAGATTACTCAAAAAAAAAATCAAATTCAGTAAGTGATATATATTATTTTGTTTATTTACCTCATCAAATGCCATTCGTTTGATCTCATTGAATTGATCTACTGCGTCATCTATTCTCATGTCCATAGATGTCCACCGTCCCCTCATTGCTTCTTGTAACATAATCTTTAGTGATTCTACCTGTATGTGTAGTCAAGTAGGAGATAGATTACTAGGATTTACGTTTATGAACGTTTTAAACTTGTTTTTGTACATTATTATTGTTAAAAAAACCAATTCAGTTGCTGGCAATTAACATCTTTTATAATGCTTTATTACAAGAATCGAAACTTAATTATAACAGTATTTGTCTTAACATATGTGAGCATACTATTTTCGATTGTCAGCACAGAAATTAACAGTTTCGAACCAAAATAAATTCTTCACAGCCTGATATAAAATGTATTTAAAAAAGTAATGAAAACAATTGAAAAGTAACATATATTGTTATGTTACACTAGATCATCAGTATCACTATAAGCCGTAAAATGATAGTTCCATCGTAACATCAAGATAAGTTTATATTTAGAGTATGTATTTCTTATTGATCGCTTGTCATTTCATCTACACTAACGAATCTCAAATTATTGCTAACTTGTATTGTGTCCTGTATTGAATATGATATGCTATCTTGATGAGAATTAGACAGAGGTGTATAGTTAATTCGTATGGATTTTTTTTACTTACCCTGTCTTCTGTAACACCAGGCATGTTTTTAATCAAAGCATCTAGCGCAATTAATGCCCTGCCTGCCATCATCTTGTCCGGACGAACTGGTCCATTCTGTGGATCCAGAAAGGGGTCAAGAAAATCTTCCAATTCTCGGAATATCGTGACTTCCATCTGCCAATTAGATACTTTGACGATTTAAAAAACGTATGATTAATATCAGACTATCGGTATACGTCCTTGTCAGAGCGACTAAACAACACAAAAATACAACATACAATATAACATATACTTGTAGCATACTGTACTTTAAAGGTTTCCGTATAGTGTATATGAATTTTTAACAGTACTTTACGAAATAATTAGGAAATTGTTAAAAAAACTAAGATTCCAACTCCTCAGACAAAGTTTACTTTAGAAGAATTTGGCTATTTTATTTAGGTCCCTTTCGGTCATATAGCTCTTAATGTGTCATATTTACACATCCCTGACTTTCAAGTGTTTAGGTTTGAGCATTCCTGATGACGGTAAATCAAGAAAAACGCGATATTAATGTCCTTTAGTAGTGTTACTAATCGTGAGTTCAGTTAATGCACTTTGTAAAATAACAGTGTTGCATCCAGTTTTTATAGTGTGTAATATAGCGATGAATTTATTTGCAATTTCATATCGATGTGATAGACATGTGCATAACTGTAAGGTGCTTGCTCTACTGTTAGTGCTTTAAAACACTATGAAAATACAAAAAGATGCAGTTTATTGCTTTACCATGAAAGGTCTCGATTTTTTTTATCGTCCTTTACGATAACAGCTTCCATTTTGTATTCAAAGTGGAAATGTAAATGCCATTGGTTTTCTTAGTAAGACTATAATAACATGTTTCCCGGTATACTGAAAAAAATCTAAGCTCTACATTTTTTTTCAATAAATAACACAAATTTTGTACATTTCATATAAAATACTCACCGTTCATTTGTTTATTGATTCGTATTTTACGAATACATGCCAAATCAAAAACAAAATGGTGTGGACTTTATATTATTAATAAACAATGAAATTAGATATCGCCTTTACCAAAGTTACCATTTTGAACGAGTAAGTTCGTTTCGCTACAATACAAGTGATTAATTTACAATTAAACAATACCAAAATAAACGGTTGACATTTCGTTATATTTAAACAGTTATTTTACAACCAGAAGACCTGCATGTATTTTAAACAGATATTTTGTCCTTTTAACTATTGTTTTTTAAACTATAAAAATCATTTTTTTTTGGCTATTTCAAAGTTGCACAATACATAAACATCGACTATCAGCATAACATGCAGTTTATCATTTAGTTTGTTGCAAACTTTAAAGCATTTTGATTTTGACAAGTTATAAATTTCGTTGCGAAGAACTGCATTAATGACAGAAAAAATTATTAAAGAAATAAATTTCACAAGTAGAAAGATTTCATTTAGTTTTGTTTGAATAATTTTATGTCATTTGCCTTGGACATGGGTAAGAAGGTATATTGCTATCATCATTTCTGTGATCAGCATCTATCTTGTTATTGATTAAGCATATTGACCTTTTGAAAATTTTCTACTCGTATTAAACTTAGACATTACTGCATTGACTGTCCCTCTGGTATCTTTCGTCCCTCTTTTATGTACCAAAATAGATATAGACTGGAAGCATAATTTGTTCGTTTTTTATGTCTGTCTCACCAGCAATTGATCATCACCTTATACCAACATTCAGTCTAAATCATGTAAGCAATGAACAGATAACAAATATTGTACATGATCTAATTGTATTTACTGGTAAAAAAATCAGAGTTAATCCCGAACCCTGCACTATAATTGCTCCCCTAGATTTCGAGTTTTCAAAATCGTCAATAGACATAATCTTTATATACTCCTCTGGAGCCTCGGTGGCCGAGTGATTCTAAGTAGTTTATCTACTGTATTACTAGTCTGTCAAATCCGAGGTTGTGAGTTCGAACCCCACACGTTACAGGTGCGTTTGCTTCCAATCTAAATTGACTGGGATTACCAGTTTTTCTATCGAAGGTCAGTGGTTCTCTCCGGGCACTTCGGCAATCGTAGCACCAATTGAAAATGGTCATGCAAGTAGGCTAAGCGTTTAAACAATAACAATCAATAAATCCATATAAACTCCTCTTACTCTCCAAAGTCAAATTATTATCGGAAAGTCACAAAATTCTTCATATGAAAACACCAGACAAAGCTGAAAACTCGTTAACCAAAAGCTTGGTTCGAATTCTAAATTATGTCCCAATCGAAAATCAAGAAAAAACCATAATAAAGATGACGTTACCATCAAACTAATAGCGCTTAAAAAACTGAAAATTATGTCTGTGGTCATTGTGTTTTCGATTTTTCAAAAAAAAAAAAAAAATGATACGACCTAGATGTACTTCGGCAATGTATAAATTGATACCTCATCAAAGGTACCAGGCTTATAATTTTGTACGCTAGACGCCCGTTTTGTCTACATAAGACTCGTCAGTCGTGCTCAAATTAAAACAGTTGTCATTATTCTTACAAAAGCTATATTTGTGTGAATACAGTCAGTCTAAAATTGTAAAGGCTTTCAAGTCATTGATGATAATTGAGTTCCTATTATTTGTTTGCATATGTATATCTTGTTACCATGTTACCATTACATATATAATTGTACCACATATATATATAGCAGAATTTACTCACGAGGTTCTCTTTTCACTCCTTCAACTGTATTGCGGAGGGTACCAAAATATAGCAGAATATACTCAGTTGGATCTTTTTTTACTCCTTGGGTTTTAATTTTACCTTAACCCAGTTGTAAGTTAGATGACATATTTCACACTATAATTATTTTTTCATATTAGATATGTCAGGTAACTGTATGATAACTATGAAATTTTAAGAATGATATTTGGCTGGTAATTTGAAGTTAACTTAAACCGTATCCCGTTTTCTTTTAATGAAGATGACATTATGTTTGTTCTAAGCGCACAACACATATTTCTGGAATAACATTCCTCGATAAGCCCAAATCCCAAAGAAATGAAATGAAAGCAAAAATATAAATATCTTTAAACCAAAAAGGCCTCATTATAAAACAAGAGACTCTCAAGAGCCTGAATCGCTCACCTGTATTTTTTTATTTTAATTTTCATCAAAGTTTTTCTTTTGCTTTTAAGTTTTTAATGTATAATTAATAAGTGTGGACACAAACCAGTGCGGATAGTATCCAGCATTCTGAGAGTATTGCATGGCAATTAGGAAAGGTGAGCTAAAAACAATAAACGAAAAACAAATATGAAACACAAAAACAAATGACAACCACAAAAATCATTGGATTTTGAGTTGTGCAAGGAGGGATAAAATTAATGTACTGTATCCATACCCTGTCTTTAACATGGGACTGTGGTGTTACAGCACAACATAAACACAAACATTTATTTTTTTTAAATAGACTTTCTGTATGTGTGTTTATTTATTCCACATTAGCTAGAGGTACAAAATTTATTGGTGATAGGTTTAAATCTTACAAAACATGTATAACTTGCTGAATTTTTGTGCATGTCCTAATTCAGGAACATCTAGGAAGCTTTTGTTAGTCTTGTATGTTTTTTTTATCTTGGTTCATATCTGTTTTGAAGCTGAACATTTTTACTGTTTACAGTGTCTCCCTATTTATGATAATATTCAAAATAAATAACCAAAAACAGCAAAAGTTTTTTTTTTTTATCAAAACTGCATTTTACCCCTTTGTTCTATTTAAGCCATAGTGGCCATGTTTCTTGACGTACAAGAAAATAAAACATACAATGCATACTAGTTATCCTAAGGTTCATTCAGCCCATCTTTGGATGAATTTGCTTCAATAGTTTCAGAGAAGATTTTTGAAACTAACAAACATGATGAACAAATTATGTAAAATTACCTTTAAAGGGCAAAAACTCCTTAAGGGGTCAATTGACAATTTTGATCATTTGACTTATTTGTAGATCTTACTTTACTAAACATTTTTACTGTTTACAGTTTATCCTTATCTATAATAATATTCAAGATAATAACCAAAAACTGCAAAATTTCCTTTAAAATATCAATTCAGGGGCAATAACCTAAAAATCAGTTATCCAATTTGGCTGAAAATTTCAGGGCAGGTAGATTTTGTCCATATGAACACTTTAACTCATTGTCAGATTTGCTCAAATACCTTATTTTAGAGATATAAGCCGAAAACAACATTTTACTCCTATGTTCTTTTTATAGCGATGGCGGCCTTGTTTTTTTATGAAACATAATATAAAACACAAATTTTATACTAGATACCCTAAGGATCATTCAGCGTAAGTTTAGCTGACATTGCTTCAGTAGTTTCAGTGGAGAATTTTTTTTAAAGTTAACAATCATGATGAACAAATTGTGTAAAATTGCCTTTAAAGGGCAACAACTCCTTAATGGGTCAATTGACAATTTTGGACATTTTGACTTATTTGTAGATCTTACTTTGCGGAACATTTTTACTGTTTACAGTTTACAGTTTATCTTTATCTATGATAATATTCAAGATAAAAACCAAAAACTGCAATATTTCATTAAAATTATCAATTTAGGGGCAATAATCCAAAAATCGGTTGTGATTCGTCTGAAAATTTCAAGGCAGGTAGTTCTTGACCGTGACACTTTTACCGCATGACAGATTTGCTCTGAATGCTTTAGTTTTTTTGAGATATAAGCCAAAAACTGCATTTTACCCCTATGTTCTATTTTTAGCTATGGTGGCCATGTTTTTTTTACGAAACTGTTAATAAAACACACACTTTATATAAGTTACCCTAAGGATCATTCAGCATAACCTTGGCTGCAATTGGTTCAGTAGTTTCAGAGGAGAAGATGTTTGAAATAGTTTACACCGGACGGACGACGACGGACGACAAGTGATGGCAAAAACTCACATTTCCTTTTAGGAAAGGTGAGCTAAAAAGAAGCTGAGCCAAATTCGTCAAGTACGATATTTACCTGAAGTAAGTTGAAGTTGCAACTTAAGCTTTAATAAAATAATATTATTTCATTAACGGATTAACACACAAAATTTAGCATCTGAATCATACCAATACAGAATCACTAACTACTTGGCGGATGATATCCTCTGGGACTGATATTCCAACAGCAATAACAATCCAGTGGTAATAAATTCAAGTAACAGTAGTTTACCGATGATCAAATGTAACAAATCCATTAAGAAAACACAAACCAAGGGAAAACAACCTTATAAAATACTAAGGGAATCGCATGGCCTCTATAAGGAACGAGACTGTGTGCGTCGGCAGGGAGAGCGTCTTCATGTATGTATGCATCACACGCCATGTGATTCGAAACTCAGACATGATGTTCCAATCGGTTAATCATCAAATCAGACGAAACGATAAAACACTAAACGGGTGATTATCTTTATGCATTTTAACAGCGTCTTGTATTGTCGTCTGTTTTTTTTCTGTATGGAGTGCCTTTAACGCAACTTTATTACTCATTACTTTTCGACTTAATAAGTTTGAATGTCCCTTTGGTATCTTTCGCCTCTCTTTTACTTGCAACAGATATCTTATTGAGAAGAATTTGTATTTCCTGTGACCAACATGTCAATTCAAAGCAAGAGAAATCATATTTCAAGAAATAAATTTAGAGTCAGTACGTACATGTAACTACAAGAACAGTACCAAATACATCATTCCCCAAAAGAGATGCAATGCTGTTTGTGTTAAAGTTGAAGTTCTGTTGGCAGATTCAGTGTAGAGGGAGTTGGAGTTATATGGTAATTGGATATAATCTGATATAATGTTTAGGCCATTGTGAAGATAAGGACCGTAATAGCCTTTCTTCCTTTATCTACCACAGGACTAAAACCACCACTACAGCAATGTGAACATTTCTTTAATGGCTATTTGATATGATAACAATTACATGGATGATAACACAAAAGTTTCACACTTTCATTTGAAATTCATTAATTTAAACTAACTAAAATATAACTCAAACATACAATGATTAATCAATAAATATCGTTTAAAGGAAACACATATCGTTGCAACGAAGCGCTTACTGAGGCAAATACTCCAAAATGTTAGTAATGTCCCTGCTTTGAAGAACCATGTCTTAATAATTTTATTTTGACACTCGAGACTTGAGGAAAGTGTTAACTGTTCATTTACATCACAAGGGGAATATCAAATAGTTATCTGAATATTAAGTTTTTCCAAACTAAAGCACATTTGAGACAGTGAGAGGATAGTTATAAAATGCAAGAGTTTTGTTTCAATTATTTTGTCTTACGTTTCTCCATTTGGTGTTTAAATGAAAAAGCTTGTTTAACATAGAGAGACGACTAAAGCTAATTGTAATAGACAAGCATTAAAACCGCATTAATTTTTGGAACAATGATTTTAGAGAAAACAAATCAAATAAATTTAGATTCCTTGCAGTAGATTATACTAGAACAGATTAGTAAGGTCTTGCGCAGCCTCGTTTTAACATTAAACCAGCGTCATGTAAATATAATGCCGGCCATACAGCATGTTTGACAACAGTTCCTTTTTTCTTGTAGTATTTAAAAATTGTTGGGTCCACAGCATCGTCCGGATCTGGCCATCTTAAAATCATCGATGGGTCTTGTACACACATGTACCATATGAGTTCTACACATTTGTCAATATATGAGTTCATAGAAACCAATGTTTTATAGTTGAGTTCTAATCTAGAAGCTGTAGATTCCTTGAAATACTGAAAATGAAACAAAACTTTGTATTTGCAATAATGAGTAAATTGATCTTAAAGTTCATGCATTCCAAATCTGATGTATTTAATCTCTAATTTGTCTAAACAAATAATAATATAATTTATTGTATGTAGACTTTTTAGACAGTTGTTCTGTTCGGTATGATACAACACTTAATGACTGATTATGAGGGAAATAGGTGTATATTATTGGATGTATAGTTGAAATATGGTCAGTGCTATGTGCATTGATAATTGGGTTTTGTCCGAGGGTAGAATGCACGTCAAAAGACAAGTAAGTATAAGGTATTTATCACATGTTCCATTTTTTCAGATTGTTTTAAAACTCTAAAAGAATCGCTGTCTTTTAAAGTTGCTCTTCGCAATATTATATGTCTCGATTTCATTTAATTTCATGCGTAGTTGTAATTATTTGTTTGCTGTTAACTTGCAATTCATGATTTATAATTACTATAACTGTCATAAGATTTTAATGGTCCTATTAAGTATACGCTTTGATATTTTGAAGTTATGAATAATGTTGAACGAATACCTGTATAACACTAGGAACAGACAATGTAGAACTTGCTCTCCTGTATTCCTTTGCTAACCGCGTAGCAACCCCTGATGGTAATTGAAGTGGGGATTTATATCCGTGTATCAATGATCCCTGCAACATAAAAAAATGATTAAACGATTGTCTTATAATCGAAGACGGATATCTGGTATGAAGAGTTTGTTTAACAACATAAAAATAAACGAAATATTTTTTTCTCTCTCAAAAATATGGAAAAAAATATCGTCGATGAACATTGAAATCATGCAGAATGATATATACAACACATGATAAAACACAACCAAGTTTGTCAAGGAAACAGAAAAAAACACAACAAAATGGAGTTGTTAATTTAAGCTATTTGTTTGTTATAATATATATTACCTTGTCTAAAGCGTAAATATTCTTTTGTCGAACGTTTGGATGTTCCATTGTGTGAATGAGTTCTATTATTTGGTCCTCTGCTATTTGTTGACAGAATGGATATGCATACTAAAATGAAAAAAAAATATAGAAAATTTAATGAACTCTGGTTGATAGCTGTCTCATTGGCAATCATGCAAAAGCTGAAATGTTTTCCTTATGCCACTTTACGCCTGGTGTGCATAGTAAATCATTTGAACAAATTAATACATTTTACACTATTTCAACATAAAAAAGAATTCTCAAACGAAATATATCATCTTTTTTTTTGTTCATGGGACACCTTTTCTGAAATGAGTTCATCAATTAAGCTCAAGAGAGGAAAGATAAATATACCAAAACCTACCCTAATAACTCTCATCAACTTATATACAATTTCTTCATCGTGATAACCTCTGTCTGCTAAATCTTCATATGCTGCCTTCCATTCGTTTTCAAACACGAGAGCAAATTTTTCAGCTATGTTAGTAGAATTGACTGTTTCATTGGCGTACTTAAATGTAGGAAACCCGTCATAGATATGCTGATTGGCTAACGCACTGACCCTGTAATGTATCACATGATACCCATGTATTAAAGTTGCGCTAGTGCCTTAAGTTATTTCTCAAGCGTTTGTTGTAATTAAAATGGTTGATGCGCCGTATTGAATGATAGGTTACATATATGTTTATTTTTGTTTATCTCAGTTTTTTTAAAGTTGTTTACCAGTTGTAGATTTATTCTATTGTTTTCAGACATTTTACTTTTTTTTTCTTTTTACACTGTCGCTCTGATACTCTATTTGCAGTATTCGAATGTTTCTTTAATTAACCTCTATACAGGTGTATCTAAGGCAGAGCAAAAGTATATAACATATGAAAACATATTAATCAAATACTTTGAGACGACAACCAAATACATCTAATCATCAACATGTGTGATATAAAAATTACCTTCTGTGATAGTTATGTGATCAGCCGCTCTGCATTTATATGAAATATTTGTCACTGGAAGTTAAGGAAACATATTTTGAATGCTTATAATATAATCTACTTTGTCTCAATCTCTTCCACAAAGAAAAGACAGAACACAACTTCCTAACTCAGAATGCCTCAAAATTACAAACAAACTGTACCTGCTGGTTAACTCTTGAATTGCATTATCCCGCTTAGTCAGTTCCAGTCTGAGTTCATCATATTCATCCGCAGAAACAAACCCATCCTTTCTAATGTATAATGGAGATTTCTGCGATCTTGCAGTGACTATCATGTTTGGGGACTTAGGAGGTGTGGTTGGACTTAATCTCCCTATTAGACCTATTTTCACTCTTTCTGGATTATGACGGTTTTTCTTCAAATATTTCTGAAAAGTATGTAGACTGCAGATTTATGTCAGTATAAAAACTTTTATATATGAATTTCTATTGTCTTTTAAAAATCGGCAACAAGATCGAATCATGATATGGTAAGTTATGTCGAAGTTTGCTGTAAAGGGTTTTAGATAAAATAGTTCCACAGCCGAATGTACAAATGTAAAACAGAACTTCGATAAATTTGTTCAATAACGTTTGAGTGTGGAGTATTTGATCGCATTTAATAGAGAAATATTGCACATTCATCTTGTTTAGGTGGTACCAAACACCTTGACTAAAATTAATTTGGCTCGTTTAATTTTCATTAAATTTTGACAAAATATTTACTTTGACCCTTTGTCAAAAATATAAAAATTTCAAAAAACTTGAACCACACAATTTATCGGAAAAATTTCATTGGATATATATAGCAGTTTGACAAACATTAATTTTGGTCATTGAGAAGCTTAATATTTCCTTAACAATAGAACGTGATTACAAGTTCAGCTGATTTTTACAGAGTAATCTTCTTGTAGTGTTATGTACCACCTTAAATGATAAAAACGAAAGTGAGAAGAACCAATGTTAGCGAACGACCATGTTGATAGTCTTGGGAATGGAGCAGGAGAATATTTTCAGTATGGAATGTTGCTAGGGCAGCTTTTGTCCCTTATATTTGGTTTTACTCACAATGTTCGCTGTATTCTGTGGATTTTTCTTATGAGTTAACGTGATTGTAAGTTACTAATTTTGAACACTTACATTGTCCCCCTCAAGTTGAACATACAGTTTTTGTATACGTTGCAGTGATATGAATTCAAGCATTGCGTTTCTCCATGCTGATCTTCGGTGTCTCTCTGCTGTTTTTAACACTTGATACAGTTTGCTGACAGACAGAGTGGGGAACTGTGCTTCACTGACATAAACTTTATCATCGTTCTTGACTAGGCTCCGAAACTACAAAAAATGAATAAAAAACATATAAGTTCATGGTGATGTCATATTTAAACTAAATTAGCAATTATCTCTTTTTAATTAAAAAAAGTTAATAAAGTCAAAATCTCCAAGAGATTTGTAAATTCATCGGGGTAATTACTATGAAGTATTTGAAGATTACCAAGCATTACTAGGAGATTTCTGAATCCATTATCATATGCAATTTAATGAAATTCGATTCGACTAACCTGTTCCGGGTACTTTGTATGGAGGAGGTTCTCCGTCTTCAGGAGGTCTATGTACTCGTATTTAGCAGCATCCAATACATGTTTCGGATAAAACACTTGCATGTCCTGTACAACAGTTTCTATATTCAGTCTCGGTGAATAGTCGGATGACAAGTTGATATACTTGGCCCTCACCGGTACCAGCGCCATTGAATACATCTATTGACAACACACTATGTAAGGCAATCTGTTTATTGCGTAAATTTATCAGAATCGTACTTGGACATACTGTAGGATGATTAATATTTCATTGGTTGCTACATTATCTGTTAAAATGTAAATTTGTATATCTTTGAAATGATTGCATGTAAATACAAATACATAGATTCTAAGAATACCAAACGTTCAAGCAAGTAATTTTACTTAGATGTGCAGTTAAGTAAAACATTTGGAATTGATTACATTGTTTGAGCTTTTACTACCATATATATCCACTGTATCTAAACTACCCCGGCGAAAAATGTTTGGACTCAATAGTATCTAATGTCCGGTACGGTGACGGACAATCAACAGACAGAGAAATCTAGAAATTCTGTTTATCTATATGTTGTTTTAATGATATTGAATAATATACATACACATATAACTATTTTCGATAGTGTGATGTAATATTTTCTACCACCGTTCTAGATTTATGGAGAAATAAGTAAAAATGCACATCAAAATGGTGAATTGAGTGAACCCTGCCTCGAATTTGTTTAATTTCTCTTTAAATTGAGCACATTGTACGGAAAGAAAGGTACGGAAAGAAAGATATTAACACGGAGATTTCAAGACTTTTCACTATGATCGCCTCAATATTTGCATGTCTGTGCATGGAATGAAAGAAGTGGGTCATGTCAAAATTGAAGCACCCGGTTTTGTCAATGTGTACGACCCGGTTTTGTCCTTAAATTTCACAAAGCAGACCCGGTTTTGTCATAGAAAATAATGCATAATCGCATGACGAAAATTAAAATATGGCGTTCAACAGCAGTTTGAGGGATCGTTGAAAAACATTTTATTTCAGAGGATAACTTATAACCTTTTAGAATCCATAAACACTTGAATTCCTGTTATATTAGAACAAAGGACATTTCAAATTTTGTTTTGTATAAAAAAAAAAGGAAAAATTAAAAAGAAATGAAGGTTTTGAAACGGAATTAGATTTTTTTATATCATTTATGTAAATTTAAGTGTTCAAACTTAATTAGTGCACGGCCTTGAGAATTTAAGGACGCACATTTGATATGTGATTTTCTGGGACAACAAGATGGTTATCTTAGTGTTCCGCTCTACTTAAAGGGAAGACAGTATAATCGTTTGAAATAAATATTCTGAAACTAAACGTTCATTATAAAGCAAGAGAATAAGACAAATGTATGTGCATGCAGAACCGCCCAAGAAAAGGAATTTCCATGCGGCGCAAAGGATCACAATAATAGTGCGTTAAAAATCTGTTTACCCCTCCTTCTTACAATAATACTAAGTATAAGTTAGTTTAAAAGTCTTAGGCCATCCGGAAATTGCAATAATGATTATTTGATTAGTAATTTTTATAAATAAACGATGTTTTATCCCTCTTTTTTTTTCTTTTTTTTTTTAACATTAACAAATTCTTTAATGCACTAGTATCTAGTTGTTAACAACTGCCCTATATAGTACAACTATTATATATAGGTTTATCTCTTCATTGTATAATGATTATCGTACATTGACAAATGTTCTACAATTTAAGCAATTTGGTCAAGTTTAAAATTGTAAATTTGCAAGGGCGGACCGAGGCCATGATTTTTGAAAGGGGCGTATTCATAAACGGATTTTATACCGCCGAGCGTAGCAAGGGGAACTTTTTTTTAACGATTTTATGCTAAAAAAAAAAATCATATATAAATCGTAAAAAACATGATAAAATAATTATTTATAGCCACCAAAAAGGGGGGGGGGGGGGGTCGGCGTACTCCCTCTACTCCCCTGGATCCGCCACTGATATAATGTAACTATATCGTATACCATCATAAAATTTAATAAAAGACGAAAAAACAGAGACAGCCACCAATCGCATATTTACTATAGGGGCTCTGTAAAATATTGACAAATATAATGCCTACCTATGTTAAAATGAGCGTAGAGCATGGCATGATAGAATTATTTTGTTTCTAATGGGGAAGTTTAGAACTTGTGTATTTCGAAGCGAACATAAAATACACGTTCGAAAGGCAACCATTTTGATTGAGAAATCCAAAACGTTCTAATAGATATAAGAAGATGTGGTATGAGTGCCAATGAGACAACTCTCCATCCAAGTCACAATTTGTAAAAGTAAACCATTATAGGTCAAAGTACAGCCTTCAAAACGGAGCTTTTTCTCTCACTGTCCGTCAATGGATGAATGAATGAGTAAATATATTGTAAACATAGCGAATAGTGTAGTAAAGCATACTATCCTTACTCTTTTGATAAATTGATATGGTAACACAATCATTCCACATCTTCTTATTTTTACATCATTACAGTAGTATAGAAAACAAACAAACATTTTTGAGATGTATTTCTATTTGTATCCATCTGAAGCCTTTTTCAACTGATTTTTATAGTTCGTTCTTATCTTGTACTGTTACACCAATTTCCTAAGTTAGGGGGAGGGTTGGGATCCCGCTAAGATGTTTAACCCCGCCACATTCTGTATATATTTACCTGTCCCAAGCCAGGAGCCTGTATTTCAGTGGTTGTCGTTTGTTGCTGTGTTACATATTTGTTTTTCGTTCATTTTTTTGTACATAAATTAGGCCGTTAGTTTCCTCGTTTGAATTGTTTTACACTTGTCATTTCGGGGCCTTTTATAGCTGACTATGTTGTATGAGCTTTGTTCATTGTTGAAGGCCGTACGGCGACCTATAGTTGTTAATTTCTGTGTCATTTGATCTCTTGTGACGAGCTGTCTCATTGGCAATCACACCACATCTTATTTTTTCTATCATAAGGAATTAATGTAAGTACATGATATAAAGTATTTATTTCCATTTAAACTTAGTTCGAAGATAAGAACAATAAGGTATACTATAGCATTAAAAAATGTCTACTCCCTATTTCGAAAAGTTCCCGTTTGAAATATATTTTAACACATCTTTGTATTGCAATAACATTTTTATAACATCTTTTTGACTCAAATATTTAATTTCTCCCGATTGGCAATGTACAGATCCGTGCTAACGTAGCTTTTCATAAATTTGTGGTTTCAAAACGAAACAAAACCGGGTCCTATACTGAGACAAAACAGGGTCCTTGTGTAATAAACAACATTGACGAAACAGGGTCCTTCCATTTTGACATGACCCATTTCTTTCGTTCCATGCACAGAAATGCAAATATTGAGGTGCTTATAGTGACTAGCCATGCAATCTCTGTGTTAATATCTTTCTTTCCGTACTTTTCTTTCCGTACAATGTGCACAATTTAAAAAGAAATTAAACAAATTCGTAGCAAGGTTCACTCAATTCACCATTTTCATGTGCCTTTTTACTTATTTCTCCATTAATCTAGAACGGTTGTAGAAAATATTACATCACACAATCGAAAATAGTTATATGTGTATGTTTATTCTTCAATGTCATTAAAAAACAAATAAATAAACAGAAATTCTACCTTTTCTCTGTCTGTTGATTGTCCGTCACCGTGCCGGACATTAGATACTATCGAGTCCAAACATTTTTTGCCGGGGTAGTTTAGACACAGTGATATCTTTAAGTGTTTATTCGGAGTCTTTATCTGGATTTTTTTCTTAGTGTGTTCATATTTTTTTTACCGAAATTAACTACTATTATTGTATCGTCGACCTTTCCTTTGCATTTGGTACATTATAAGGGTTCCGTGACGTTACATTGTTTGTTTAATTTTGTAATAAATTTATTGTTTTTTAACTGCAATATATTTCTCAAAATAAATTACGGGAATATAACGGTAAAATATGTTGCTTACCTTTTATAAATATCTTTAAAATTCAATCAGTCGTAATTCAATCTGCAAAATCTAAAATATTTGACTTAAATTAAAATGTCCTATTTATTAGTCATTTAGAAATTACTCAACGATAAAAGTGTCAAACTGCTATTAACTTTCTTTGTTTAATATAAATACTTTTCAATCTTCCATATCATTGAACTAAACATTTTAAATGTGTATTAATAATGAATATAACGAAAGTATATGTCTCTAAAACAAAGAGACAATATTAAATGCCCAAAGAAAGAACATTATATCACAAAGAATTTTTCTTCATGTATTAATATCTTACCACTGAATATAACTGACCTACTTACCTACTTGTATTCCTTTTTTTTAATTTTTTTTTTTTTTTTTTGTGATATGCATATGAAACATCAGAAGAAACATTTTCATTAGTCTGAAATAAAGACGTTACGATATTTTTATCGGTGGGTGATATGTCTAAACTGTTTTCGAAAATGTATGTATAGCGGATTGATAACAATTCTTTTTTTCTTGTTGCCGATACAAATTTTCATCCTCAGTTGGAGCAATTTTCATATTCTTACAAAACATTTTTCTGAAACGACCCAGAATTTGAATATTGAGACTAACAGTATGTTATGTATATCATATGATTGGTCTATTGTTGCTTGCTAAACGTCCAGTGGCAATTAGGAAAATAATAAGAATCTAAACCTATAAAATTGTTTGACTAATTTATCAACTGAACTAATCTCAGACATCTAGCAAATTATATCAATGTATGGATATTGACAAACTGCGGATGATACGCCCACTCCCCACAGGACCTAGAAGTCAAGCAGTGGTGCTACCAAATATGAAGGTAGTTTATATGTGTACCTATAACTACCATATTTCTAAATATAAACAGATATCAAGGAAATGGTAAATAAACAGAGTAAGACCGAAAGTGTCCTCGGGCTAAGTATATCCAGCTCTACATGCATCACCTTTCTTACAATTCTAGTCATATCTAACAGTAATTTTTAAAACCAGAAAAATGACAAAATCGGAAGTAATGTTAGTGGACCATAATGAACCTGGAATCTATGACAGAGTTTCAGAAAGTTTAGTAAGTAAAACGTTGTAACACTAAACTACTTTGCTATATTATATTACTTGTGAAGTGATGATTTAAGCTGTTCTATCAGATACATGTATAACCTTACTATTGTAGTTATTGAGTTCCCAGTATACCGGTCGTTCATGTTCACGTAACAAATGAATCGTCATTGCCTGTAGCATAAGGCTGTTATTACTATAGCCTGGGATCTTGGCTCACTGCTCGACAGTAGATACGAAGAAATCGACAAAGTATTAGATTGGGTTAGGATGCCAGGCTATTATTACTAAAAAAATGTAACAGGACAAATAGAACGTTTTTAAGTAACCTATACTGGATTTTATCCTTCATTATCAATATCAAGAATATTATTTTCGCTTTGGGATAAACCTTAGTGCTTCTATAGTAGTTAAAACATCCTTAATTTTAAGTTCGCTTGAATGTTGATTAATTAATCACTGAATAAGAGCTTCTTATAAATGAAACATGTAAATGGAAATACTTGAAAGTGAAATATTTTCAATTTTTCCATTGTTTACCATAATCATTTCTATATGTAGCAGTATTCCAACAGCACCTGCGTATGGAAATGTTTCTATACATTGATAAAATGTTCCAAGCCTTGCATTTCCTACCAGAATTACGATGAAAAATAGTAACAGCATACAGGGATCATCATAAACCAAAGCATTTTATTGGTTGTGCCGAAATCATTTCTTTGAAGGTTTTACGGACTACATTGTGCTTTGGTATGCCGTTATGAAATATCAGTATCACAGATTACCATGGATATGTTCCATTTGTAAGCGCTAATATCCCGTCGTTTTCACTTTCCGTAATGTGTGTCAACAAATATGTACTTGTCATACGCAACCAGACGGATCCCATCAGTGGAACAGAATCTGCTTACTCCTTTAGGCATCTGGTTACACTCTTTGTTATTGATGAGATGCGTTTTGTTTAGATTTCAGTTTTCTGTGCGGTGACTTGTAGACAGCTGTTCGTCTTTTTTTCATTTGGCGATAGTATTGTTGGTTGTTTTCACCTAATTATAGTTTTTGGTACTCGTTTAACATTTTATTTTTGACAATGTGTGCTTGCAGAGTACAACAGTATCAATCAATCCTTTGAAGAAAAGAAATAAAGGAACTGAAAAATACTGAATTTTCAATCTCAACAAAAAGGCGACATTTTTCAATAGCATTTGTAAAGCCTTCCTATCATATGATTGCAACATTCAACTTTTTCCTTGATTTTAATTCCAGACTAGCACCTTTTTTACCGTCAAACATTACTACGTTTTGAGTTCAAACAGTAGGTTAGTACCTATATTCTGCATTCACTTCTTTCTACAAGTCCTGAGTGTTTTAAACGTCTGCATTTTGATTACTTTATTGAGACACAAAAATGAACAGAGTAAAGCCCAACTGAGGACATTCATACAAACGAGGACATGCCATATTCCACCAATCGACAACGCTAAAATTGATTAACAAATAAATAGAAAATCTTCAGCACATACATTGTACATTTGTTTAATGCACAAAGGCAAATAAAGTAAATCGTATAAAAAGGATCAACAGTCATTTTATTTGCTGAAAACATACATATCAATACCAATGGCCTTTGAGATGGCATTATAGTAAAACAGGGAACAACATATCAAAAGGTTCAATAAATTATCATGCATAAAAATAATTAGTAGCAAACGGTGTAATGGAATCATGAACTCTTACACGTTAGATGTTACTCCGTTATTTGTAGCTATAAAGAAAAACATTTCAGCTTTGTTCCGAGATTTTCGAGCCAAAATACAATTTCAAGAGTGAGTTAAAAGTGTCTAATAAAAGTTATCACATAGGAATAGCAAATCCTTTACACAGTACTGGTCCTTTGTCGTACATTAACACTGCGGGCCATACAGGAAAATTCACATTAAATCCCTTTCTGTTGTAGTATTTATACAATGTGGTATCAAATGTTTCTCCTTGCTGAGGCCATTCTAATGACATAGACGGTTCTTGGTTTAACATTAACCATATGGTTTCTAGACACCTCTCAGTGAACGCTGATACTTCTGGTGTTTTCAGATGGACTTTATAGTCGGGCAAACTTTCCAATTGTTCATTGAATTTCTGAAAGTGAAATTATAATGTATATGAAATGCAAAATTACATAGGTGACAAAAACGGGAAATTTGCTGTCATATTTGCTGCCCTCAGATTGATTTCACTTTCTAGAAAAAGTCAAATCTTATATTAATGTTAAATGCCAGCAAAATAACAAAACGGTAGTATTGTTAGTAGATCATTATAAACCTGCGGGTCTATGATAGAGTTCTAGAAAATTTAGGAAGTACGACACTGAACTACCAACGACTTTGCCAATCTGGATTAAGTATTTCACAAAAATGCGTTAGTGCTTTATCAAATATTAAACAGGAAAAAAATAAAATAAATAATACATTTTACTATTTTTAAACTTAAATAAATAAAAATCTTTCCTTCCCTTTCTCCGAGTTATGGAAAATAAAGTACACAGCCAAAAGATCTTTCATCTTTTAATAAGTTTTCTATGTAGTGTCTTGTACACTAAAAGTTGCCTTTTTGGTGGTTTTTCGTTGTGGCCATATAGTGTTGTCTGCTTTTATTTGACTTGCGTCCTTATTGTCCCCTAGGTATCTTTTTCCTCTTTTCAACCCTTTGGGTCAAAATACTTCATTTAGAAATACTCCTTCGTATCCATTTTCTTACATTCTCAAATTTATGTATGGTACCGTTTTCTGTGCCTGGAATAAACCTCATGAAGGACATTAGGACATAAAACTTATTCTGGTTGATTAAAAGCTTGACATGGCACAAAAGCACATCTATTGTTTAAACCGTAACCTTAATATATCTTTTTGTTGTGTGTGTGTGTGTTGTTGTTGTTGCGTTTTTGCGTTGATGACCCTTTGAGGTGAACTTTTATAAATTCGTTTGAAAACAAATGTGAACGGAGAAAAACATTTTTTTTACAGGTTTGTTCAGATTCTTTATACAAAAATGTCGAAGTCGATGCGGTGTAGATAGATTGTTATTTCTTGTGACACCATTGAATCAAACCTAGTTCATGTAACATTGTACAATTTTTACTCGATAATAGAAATAAACACTTAGAATCATTTTGTAAATGTAAATGTATTCAATATGCAATTTTGTTCTAGAAAATACCATATTTGAATAAACTAACATCCAACAGATTAGTAATGGTTACTGTGCAATGACGTTTACGGAATAATCTTGCCAGTCTTTCTGCATCAGTATGAAGGCTTTTAATGTCGTTTGCTGAAACCTTTCGTTGTACCTAAAACAAAACAATAAAACACAAATTGAAACTTGAATTAAGTGAATCTAATACGATTTGTCGTTTTTACAATATCCGTACAAAAAGATAAAGAGAGTCTATTCTACCCCCTTTTTTTTCCCAAAGTGCTTGTGCCTGTAGCAAGTCCTCATTAACAATTTTTTTATGTCAGATCTTTACGTGTTTTGTCATTTTGGGAATTTGGTGCTGATTGAAGATCTTCTGCTATTAAACACCGTATGTATACACTGATACATGTTGACCAATATCTTTTGAGTTTTGAGTTGATCAATTTGCCACCTCATTGATATACATCCAATATATTGTATGAATTTGAAGCAACACTGAACTCATAAAAAGCTTACAAGAGAGCTAAATGCTATAATTACGGAATTAAGCAATCCAAGTATCCATGCAAGTGATCGTGGTTGATATATGAAATTGTTTTACTCTTGTAAACAAAATACCATTATGAACAAAGTGACGGCAAGATGTTCCATGAGTGTGAACCCGTCAATGATTTTTACGTGAACCAATGTGGTTTTAAATTTACATATTTTTTAATTCATTTAATGTATGTGAAAATTTGATATAAGGATGAATTACCATTAAAACTCGAACTTACGTTAGAATGTTGAGTAACACATGGTTGTATGACCTGATCCGTCATCAAGCTGGTAATGTTTTCTACTTGTTCAGCCGATACGGAATTCACCAATTTATAGCATTTCTGTAAATGAGAAAGAAAAAAAAGTTCTTTTTTATAATTAAATTATGAAGTATTGTGTCACCTAAAGTATATTTATAAGTTATTATTAGCACTTTGATTTCAATTTTTAAATTGATTCTATTTGTAAATATATCAGTACTAATGCTTCTAAAGTAGATACATAGTATAATATAATCTTCTGATTTTTGTAAGAGCTGCCATAGTCCTTTATATCATTTTCTCTTTTTTTTGGTGGTGGGGGGGGGGGGGGGGGGTGCTTAAGGGTCGCTGCCTTGTTTGACCTTTGAATTTTCTACAATATTTTTCTTTATATCTCTTTTATTGTATTGTTTCTTGTACCAGACTGTTCATTCACGAAAATAGTAAGCTACATGTCTGATTTTTTTATTTTTAAATTAAAGTTATTATAAAGGAAAACTTGTTCTTAAAATAGACAGCCATAATTTCTTTTCTCATTCCCTTTTTTTGAAAATATGCGTATTATAATTGCTTATTTTTTTCGGATTTTTTTAAGTAATTTTGGGTTGCAGTTTGTTGAGCATTGCCAATTGTAATAATGTATCTTATATTTAATGATATTGTAGCGTTTGCCATATTCACAACAATTTACATACACGCATATTGAAATGAAGCACACAAACCGGACAAAACAACATTAGAATGTAATATTAATATTTGACTGTAGTACAGGTCATTTTTCTGAACAACAACTTGGAATATTGTTCTTATACTCATATATATGTACCTTTATAATTTGCATAAGACTGTACAAAGCTACATCTTCTGTGAGTCTGTCTTGATGTCTACTAGTCAATGTCTCAACAGCTAGTTTATATTCATTGTCATATACATTGATGAATCTCTGAGCAATTTCTGTAGAACTGGTGTTCATTGTATAGTCTACGGATCCTGGATTATCATCGCAAGTACAACTACTTAGTCTGTAAAAATATATAAAACAGGTTACAGATTCCATTTTCCGTAGAAAAGATTATGAAATATCAAATGTTTATTCAACTCCTCGTACAGTATAAGTTTATACACGAATGATAACTGAACAACACCATGAACACAGCACAAGTTTCCAATTATGAAATATTAAGATAGTATAATAGTTTACCGGTGTAAAATTAAGGATAAAAAATACACAAATTCCGGATGAGAACGTGTAATAAATCTAACCTTGCTAGTCTATCATATAAAGTTGATTGTAAACGGTTTTGTTGGTTGTGTTTATACTAGGTTCTTTGTTTATTCATCGAGTCGTGTTATACCATTGTCAGATTCTAATTCAGACTTATATATAAGACTATTTTAAAATTATTTTTTTGGAAAAAGGAAAGTTTGGAATAAAAAAAAAACTGTTTTGACGCTTCAATTTATCTCGACATGTCGATTGGGTTTCCTTCCTTCCTCTCTTTTATGTTTGACAAATTTAAAATACAAATAAAAAGGTTCTCTCACCTAGCTTTTAAATTTTGAACAATATCTTGGTTTTCTCTATCAAGGTTTCTTAAGGACATTATTTCATCTGTCTGAGTCTGTAATAGATCTCTAAGGTGTTTATTTTGAGCTGTTAACGATTGCTGGTCGTGTGAGTTATAAACTGGAGAAACTTTCATGACTGGTTTACTTTTGAAGATTCGAGATTCAAATATATTCGGGGCCTGTCGAAGTTTAATTTCTGATTGACTACTTCGTATTGATACTGATGGTGTGGTAGATTCATTTAAATTCAATGTTTGTTTCTCAGTTGAGATAAAGTCCTGTGGTGATTTTCTTGATTTAATATTTGGCTCAGAAAGAATCCGTCTAGGTGTGTTTGTAAACTCATTCTGGCTTCTATTGTCTTGTTCTGGTGACTTTGGTACATAAACAGTGTGTGGTGCTCCGAACAAAGGAGGATCTGTTTCCGATTTCTCTGTTAATGATGTATCACATGGTGGTTTACTAATTAGGGTTACCGACGAAGAACTGTCTGCAGGAGCTGTCTCTGCTCTTGATATTGGAGGTAAAATTCTTGGGCTTTCGTAGAACTGAAAGAAAATACCTTTTTTTAGCCCATTTCAAGCTGATATTGATGATGTCAAGCTTTCAATTCATGATTTTGTCTGGTAAGTTTATCATTGTTTGTATTGTTTTAATAATGGAAAGCATAGTTAGACATCCATGTTCTAACAAAATGCTAAAATAACTCTCCATGATTTTATTTTTGTCGTCTTTTTAGATAAAGACAAATGAATTATCTCTTTTGATTTTGTTTAGAAATATCAGTTCGTGATAAATCTATAGCCGTACAAAAATAAATATAAAAACCACAAAATGTGCATAATTGAACCCAATAAATTGGTACTTACACCTTTGAATTTTTCTAAATCATAATAATCTTCTTTTAATTTACATAGTAACCAATATTCTTTCATAGCTTCTTCATAACTGGACGAACTCTTCCTGTCACAGATGGCACGATACAGAGGAGTTGACGAAGCCCAGTCTTTGTCATTTGGTAATTCTCCTCTATATTTCTCTGTTATTTCTTTATACTGGAATAAATCACAAAACTAATTTGGAATGAATTTTTTATAGAACGTTTTGTTTATAAAAAAAAAACTCTTCAAAAGATACCAGGCTTACAATTTTGTACGCCAGACGCGGGTTCGTATCAAAAAGACTCATCAGCGACGCTCGAATCATAAAATTTAAAAGGACCAAATAATGTGCGAAGTTGAAGAGCATTGAGGACCTAAAATTCCGAAAGGTTGTATGATAATGAATTCATCATAATCAAGGTGAAATCCAATATAGAATGTTCACTTTCTGTAGAAAATAGTTTTCTGGACAAATGTACTAACTGGTTATTTTTTTTTTATCTTTATCATTACCACGAAGGATAATCAGAACACATAAGCGTTCCATTTCCAATGATGTAAGATACCACATGCCCTACTCGAATCTATAATTCACTTCCAATAAATACCCCCAAAGATTGGAAAACAGTACTTTTTTTTTTAAATCGTTTGCGTAAACTACATTTGCAACGAGGGTAAGTTCTATTATTATGCATATATAGCTTGAACGTGGCAGACATGTAGCTGATATATCAAACTTGAATAGGTTTATTTTACATATTTGTTTTTCGTTCATTTTTTGTACATAAATTAGGCCGTTAGTTTTCTCGTTTGAATTGTTTTACATTGTCATTTCGGGGCCTTTTATAGCTGACTGTGCGGTATGGGCTTTGTTCATTGTTGAAGGCCGTACGGTGACCTATAGTTGTTAATTTCTGTGTCATTTGGTCTCTTGTGGAGAGTTGTTTCATTGACAATCATACCACATCTTCTTTTATATATATATATATATAGTAAAAAAGGTTATAGAGCAGCAAAAGATATTTATATATATATATATATATTAGGGTGGAAATTACTATGAAATTATTTTGTTAAACTATTAGGCCTTTGTATGTATAAAAGTCTTAAGATTTGCCCAACGATAAATTTAAAAAAAATCTGGTTGGTCTTTTTTATGACTAAAATATTGCGTAATATTGTGTTGCTGTTTTTATACTATTTTGTTGTTGTGCTACGAGTAACAGGTTTCTTTTAAAGACCCCACTATCATTTTGGGTCGTATTAGTTATTCATGTATGCATTTGTGTATATGCCTGCAAGAGTAGTTGAAGAGTTCATCGGTTAATTTTTGGAAATTCTGCTTTGATAATTTCCAAGTAGTTGTATCAACTACTTTCATTTTACACTTCTGACAGGAACAAATTGAAAATGCACATCTATAGGTTACTTTATTAATCATAGATACCCTATTTCTGTATTTTACTTCGAATTCCCTTTCAGTCTGTAAAAAGCTTATGTAATCTCGCTGAACTATCGGATCAAAGTTATAGTAAAATAATATTCTGTCAATATTTTGTCTTCTTTTATATCCTGATGGAATTTGATATTTTCCAAGTTGTTCCATTTCATCTCTACAAAGGAGAGTATTGATGTCGCATGTTTTCTTGCTACATTTATTTGTACACAAATGTAGTAAATCATTATAAAGAAAAAAATAATTTCTATAGAATTGCCCTGTACAAGTAGCTGTTATTGCTGAAATCGAGCACTGTACGTAATGATACTTTCTGTATCTAATTGAGGGAAGAATATGCATTTTTAAAGATTTGCCTTTTGATAAAATTCTGATACATAGTCATATCTTAACAAAACGAAGCAGCACATACAACTTTAATATAACCCAGATATTGATAGTTTCTCATTATGGTTTCTTCTTAGTTTTGTATACTTTTTTGATGAAATAGTAGATAAACGAATAGTATAAGACATATAACATATCTTGCTTCCCATTTACTAAAAAATAAATGTATGGTCTTGCATACGGTCGATACTTATATTTTTGCATTGTACAAGCTTTTGTTTTGCCTTCGTTTTCAACCGACTATTACATATTGTTCTAAAATTGTTGTTTTGTTACACCAATATACATGTACCAGGTAAGAAGGAGGATGTTGAGCGCTAACAGAATGATAAAAATATCGTCACATTCCTTATGTTATTGTCTAAACATGAGCCTGCAATTCAGTTGTCTTGTTTTTGGTTGTTGTCTGTTTTTCGTTTATATTTTAGCATAAACCAGACCGTTGTTTTTTTCTCTCTTTTTGAATTCTTTAACATTGTATCATCATGGGGCCTTTATTATGGGTTTGCTCATTGTTGAAGGTTGTACCAGTGACCTGTATGAGAAAAGCATTGCCATCTCTCCACCTTTTCCATAAGAGATAAATTTCGTCACCTTAGTACATTTCTTGTGTAGTTCAGTTTATTTCTTCATTATATGATATAATTGTGTTATATGAATGTTCTTCAAATATCTTACGGCAATTGTGTGTTTTTTTTCGAATGCTCATACTGCAATTAACAAAAAATAAACTAAATAACTCGTCTTCAGTTCAAGTTTCAAATCGTCTAAGTAGATTTTGACAAACTAGAGATTTACGCTAAGGCGAGGTGGACATAGTTGCCCTTCCATAAATTAGTAGCTAAGGCGACTTGCATTCAGAACTAACAAAAAAAACTTTAAATCGTCCAGTTATTAGGGACAAGTTATAAAAAGTATGAACATTACAGAGTTTGAGCTTGTGACATAATAGATATAGTCTTATAAACGTATTATAAATATGATAGTAGCTTACCTTCAGTTTTCATTAAAAAAAACGAGACCTATTTAAATAAGCTAGTGTTATGTGAAATTGGTCATACGTATAGCATCTATAATGTGAAACATTGAACAGTGAAACTTAATACATGATCATACACAATAATAACTATATATAGCTATTATCTATTGTCTTATGAAGAATGGTATAATATTAAGTTCAATCTAACAAGATTTAAAGTACTTTTGAAAAATATTCAAATAATATGAGCAAAGCTTATTTTTTTTTATATATCCTCCTACTTTACAGTGATTTCGAGACTAGTACGACAAGTATTCTTTGAATATCTTCATCAAGTTAAAAAAAAAGAACAAAAGTATGTGAAACCTTGTATTCGGTTTAGAGACATTGGTTTACATATTGAAAGACATGCATCCTTGTAGCATGCTTGGGTTTCACATGCTATATTCAAATGATAAAAGATTAAGAATGTGATAGATACACAGTGAGAAAAAATAGAATGTATACAAGCTAAATCGCAATGTCTCTGAAAGGGGATATTGTTATATTTTTGAAATATTCCAGTATTTTGTTTTCATAGTCTGATCTAAATGGCGAAAACCAAAAAGTTAATTTATGACGTCTTGGGTATGAATTCCTACACAGGCGAAATAACTTTGTTCCTGGTCTACAAATGATTTTTAGTGCATTTTATTGGATTTATAATTAATATGAGGAAGGCGCTACCTTAAATGCCAGCTTACCAAAACTATGTCCTACATATTGATTGATTGTTGGTTTGCTTAACGCCCAGTGGCAGATATTTCATGCATGTTCAGGACGAATGTCCTATGTATAGTTTTTGTCTAAAATATAATAATAAGTTTAGATGGAAAATGTTTAGGGAAAGATCATTGAACTTCAAAAGGCAGAAGGGGGTGGGTCCCGGTAAAGTGAGAAACGGAACAGAAACGAAACAGAGCGAAACGAAACGAAACATGGCGAAACGAAACGAAACACAGCGAAACGAAACGAAACACGACGAAACGAAACGAAACATGTAAATTGAGAAACGAAACACTACGAAACGAAACAAAATCTGTATTTTGAGGAACGACATATAGAAAATCTTCCTGACGATATATGTGCATAGCCGAAGACACCGAATATTCCATTCAACTTTGAAAAAATTACTCGTCATTTACATTGGTATCTTCGTGCATTACTAGTAGTTGCAATTAGTCAACTTGTTTTGTTAAATGTGAGGCTTAGGTGCGTCAGCTATGCTACAGAGCCTGTTTTAATATCAAGGGTTCTTGTCATGTGCAACAATGAGGGAACATTGAAATTAGAATGGCTGTTACTGGGGATCGTCTGAATATCAGCCTCAAACAAAATTGACCATTCTTACCTTTGTGACTAGGATTTTTATGTACCGCCTGCGGTAGTGGGGCATAATCTTTTCTGGTCTGTGCTGCCGTCCGTCAGTCCGTCCGTCCGATACTAGGTTTATTCTGTTTGTTAAGATAGATTAAATTACAATGGAGTTGTGTTCATGTCAACTTGAAACTATATACACATGTTCATTATGACATGTTCTTTTTGAAATGTATGCCAAATTAGGAATTTGAACCATAATTTGCGATTCAATGAACATGAAAATTTGATATTTTAAGCGAGTCACACTGTCCTATGGATACTTAACACATGACATGAGTAAAATCACTTTGTTCTTACTGTGCTATAATCTGGATAATGCACAGCAAAGGTGTGCATTTACTACCTCAGATATACTGCACAGTTCAAAAGTACTCTTACCTTTAGGGGCGGACCCTCGATTTTGAAAGGAGTGTAATTCCATATAAAATTTAAAAAATATCACCGAGTGTACATGTAGCGAATATAAAAAAGAAGATGTGATATGATTGCCAATGAGGCAACTCTCCACAAGTGACCAAATGACATAGTAATTAACAACTATAGGTCACCGTACGGCCTTCAACAATAAGCAAAGCCCCGAAATGACGTACAAATGTAAAACAATTCAAGCGAGAAAACTAACGGCCTAATTTATATACAAAAAATGAAAGAAAAACAAATATGTAACACTTCAACAATTGACAACCACTGAATTACAGGCTTCTGACTTGGGACAGGCACTTTCATACAGAATGTGGCGGGGTTAAACATGTTATTGGTATCAATCTGTACGCATCCAACATCCAATGGATTTAGTGTACAGACGTCATAAACAGTCAGAGGAAAAACACGACCTTGTGTAATGCCAAGATATAGGTATCGACAGATTGTAGATCCATGAATTTGTATATGAATTATATAACAATAATATTTAGTTTGCTTTTAATTTACTGACAAAAAAATCAATATTGATACCAATAAAACAATTTTCAATGATCTAATTACAGTGCTGAATTGGTAACCTTTTAGAATAAGTTTATTTCACGGATCGACAAGTTTACCAGGATCGTTTCTAAATTTCCGGGCACGATAAACAACATTTCCATAAAAATGAGGATGTGCTATCCCATTTGAACTTCAAAACCAAATATTTATATCTATGGAAGAATTTAGTAAAGGTTTTAAGTAATTTGTGGTAACGAAATCCCTGGCTTAATAATTTACCAGTAATACCAGATTACGTTCGTTAAAATCAAAAACGTCACAACAGACACGGGCATAGCGAACGAGTTGTGAAATTCAAACACCATAAGATGGTGCCAATGGAACATCACCATCCAAAAAGGGAAAAATAACAATCGGGAACGAAAAATTGTCCCTTTTGTCGTAAATTTCGGCAGTATATTTAGAAAATTCTTGATTTTTTAACGAAAAAATATCATCAAGATAAAGGTAAGTGTTGTTGAATTTATCAGTTAAAGGCAATTTTGACGGGTCTTTACTTAGTGTGGTCATAAACTATGATTCATAACAGTACAAAAACAAGTCTGCTATTAAAGGGACGCAATTAGTTCCCATTGGAATACCTATAACCTGTCGATAAACTTTGTTGCCAAAACGTACATAAATATTATCAAGGGGAAATTAACAGCTTCAATTATCTCATCCCACCTCCAGTAAGTATATCTAGCATATTTGCCTTTCACATTAGAGAAGAAGGCTTTAAATGAATTGCAGCAAATATATTTGCATTCAGATTTACCAAACGACCATTTAATTAAATAAGAAAACTTTTGTTTGATAAGATTGTGTGGAGGTGTAGTGTAAAGAGTAGAAAATTCGCATTCAGATCTACCAAATGACCATTTAATTAGAGAAGAAAAGTCAAAACTGTCAACAGAATCCAAAAGACCATCAAAAACATCTAATTTATTTAAATCATCCAATTTTTTTCACTCCAAAATAGACGATTTTATGCTAAAACATGATATGTTTCCACTCAAAGGGTGGGACATAAAATATTTTATAATATTTTGTGTACAATGTACATCTGAAATCAGTGTTTCCCAGTCAAACCAGATAATAATAATTTTTTTTGTAATTTCTGCCGAAAAAGAAATGTATTTTAGAATATCCAAATAAATAAAATCTGATTTGGATTATAGTTGCGTGCTCAATGGAATTAATTACGACTATTTAGATATGTATGCCTTTTAAGTTTTGGGATCGAATTTAATGAGGAACATATTCAAGTCTGTATCAAAGCAGGTTTGGGGGATAAGCTACAGATCAACCAGATTTTGTTTAGAAGCGACATGTCTTTAAAATTGATACAGTAAAAAAATGGAGGGAGGGGAAGTTAAAGATTGAAAAGTGTAACATTATTTTCTGTTTACATATTGATAGTTTTAATTTAGGTACATCTCCACATGGGAAGGTCGACTATTCATATGTATTATATATTGATAGAAACAAGTGTCTGTGTACATCTCTCTTTGGTTCATCTTCCTAGAATTATTGAGGGAAAGAAAGACAATTAATCTATACACAATAACCAGTTTAGTTATGATTTTTCATGCACCGATTCAAAAGTACACTCAATGGAACTAAAACTGTATGAAATGTAGGTTACACGTCAATAAGACAACAACCAAACGACAAGAACAAACTAAGGACACCTAGAAGGCAACATATAGTATAATTTCAACAATAGATAGGTGTCTACACAATATGTCCATTTCTAATTCGTCACTATAACATATTATAGTTTGTATTCGTTTCTTCTTTGTTTTTAAGTTTCAAAGATTTTTTATTATGGCAGTCCATGACCATGATGACATTCTTCTTCTTTCATTTTGTTGCAAATCAGGCAAGACATAATCTCGTTTAATACAAGTTCA